TCCCCTCCCCCCCCCCCCCAAAAAAAAAAGTAAATATCAAATGGTCCCTTAATTTTAAACCTCCAGTGGCAAATGTTTCATGCATGTTCAGGACGAAACTAGTTTAAAAGTCAGGTATATCTTTTATATACAAAAATAAGTGAAACTGCGAACTACTGCTCACTTATGATACCCCCGCCCAAATTTTTCACACGGTATAGCTGACTTATATAAACCCTGAAACCAAATTTCAGAAATCCTTGTTATGTAGTTCCTGAGAAAAATGTGACGAAAATTTTCAACTTGGATGTCATGTGTAAAATGATGTAAGTGTTTGGTAAACAGGAAGTTTTTGAGTGATGAATCTGAAAACACATCACACGGTAAAGCTGACTTAAATAAACCCCGAAACCAAATTTCAGAAATCCATGTAATGTAGTTCCTGAGAAAGATGCGAAGAAAAATATTCATGGGACGGACAGACGGACTGACGGATGGACTGACGGATTGACTGACCGATGGACAGACAGAGGTAAAACAGTATACACCCACTTTTTTAAAGCGGGGGTATAATAATAATCTAGTTTATTTACTTTAAACTTATTTGACAGACAGACAAGATGTTTTTTTTTTATCATGCATCAGAAAAACATTGACTTGTACAGTAACCAATATTTGTTATCTAAATTAAGTTTAAAAGGAAAGCATAAAGAATCAAAGCATCGTTGATGTTGTGATCCAGCCATATTTATAGCTAGTCTCATATTCTTTCTGACCATACTTTTTTCTAAATTTTTCTCTCTTTTCATTTCCAATCTTACTGTGAAAATTCTATGTTATTGTCCAAAGGTAGGGAATTTCGCAATATTGATGCAAATATAGATATATATACTGATCTTTCAATTTTAGACTCTGTCAGATTTTATTTAAGAATGGAAAGGAAATCGTCAAACAAGTAATATATTTTTTATATGCCATTAATAATGACAGGTTTAATAAAGACGCCTTATAAATGCACTTTCTCAACAACAAAAATTTATAAAAAAATAATAACTATTTTTTATCTAAATTGGTGTTCATTCTTCATTAAGAAAATAAACATTTCCTGTATTCAAATCTGAATGTACAAATACCTTATGCTGAGATATTTCCAATTACTGTTAAATAGCAATATAATGGGATATAAATGTAAAACAAACAAATAAATTTTATTGCAGAAAATGCTCAGGTAAGAGTTTAGCTGCAAAAAAGTAGCTCTATTGTCCTTTGAATTTTTTTTTGCCATCTATGGTCCGCAAATATCAAAATCATCAAAAGGACCTTAAGAGCTACGTTTTCGCAGCTAGTAAGAGTTATGCAATTTTGTTTAATATTTCAACCAAATTTCTGGTTATTGTAACTAATTATATAGAACTGGATTATTGACTTATGTCAGATGATAATGGCACTGATTTTACAAGTAAAATAAAGTTTGCTTGCATTTTTTATACATATTTTTTTCATTTAAAGTATTTTCTTTGAAAAAAAACACATCAGATTAATCATTCAGCTAGCTAGCAAAACTAACAGAATATTTTAATATAGTGTAGATCAAAATAAATAATACATTTGTAGGTTTACTATTGAGGTCAAGAATGTGTGTATTCAGTTAGGTGTGTAATAAATTGTATCTATTTAATTATGTAACAGGTCATGAGATATTAACAGTTTTGAATTAAGCCTGGGGTTGTTTCTAACTGATATTTATTTGAAAATCATGCCAGTTAATAATCATTCTGACTCTTACTTGCCTATGGAAAGAATTGGAGTAATACCATTTCAAAAAAAGTGTGGGAATCAACTTAAGATATATTAATACACATGTTGACCTACATTTCATTGAACAATAATTTACACAAGCACAAGATTCTAATATAATACTTTCAAAATTCTTATCAACTGATTCAATTGATGTACAAATACTTTTTCAAATTAATTCATAAATAGTAAATCATCATAAATTTTGATTTAGAAAGGAACTATATGCAAGTGTATAACTAAAATAAAGTCACTATTCGACCAATCTTTTCTTAATTTAAGGGCAAATAACATGTTAAAAGTTTGCAGTTGATGATTAAATTGGTGTAGAAAGTTTCTGCAAGTCATAAAAACACATAATTAGTTTCATGATACGTCTTCAACTTAGTATTCTGCACCATCTCCAAAACCAGAGTGATCGCATAGATCCAGCATGGCTGAATCAAAAATGTCATGAACACGGAGAATTTCTTTTAACCAATTTTCTTTTTTTACCCTTATACATCAATACCAAGAGAGCACACCAGTACAGTCATATCTTTGCAATGAACTAAAGTAACTGAATTTTCTAATAAATCATCGTAAACTTCAGTTACTTCATCAACATAAAAAATTCTGCTTATATTTGACGATAAATTGAATTTGTGTTTTATTGCTTCTTCTTCAGAATATCTCCAGAAGTGGTCCAGATTCACTTTTTTTACACTTTCACCAGAATATATTCTGGAGGTGTACAGAAAAGAGCAATAAAACACGTCCCAGGTGAGGCAAAAACTCCTATAAGGAGACGATTGAACATTTTAGTCATTGAATTATTTGTAGATCTCTTCATGCTTATCATTATTGCAATTTCAAATTTCTCTTTATCTAATATGGTTTTCAAGATAATAGTCTAACATGCAACAAGACAAATACTGGGTCTGGACCTGGGTCGCTGCATGCAATTAATTGAGGTATCATTTAAAATGGAGTAGAACTGATCATTCCCTTTCACTCAGGCAAGAAAACTTTCATGAAAATTTCCTTGTACAATGAGTGTTGTAAAATTTAAACTATCGGCAGACAGGAAGTGTCTACACAGCAGATATGATAAAAAGCTCCGCTGGGGCACAGGTTGATGTCTAACCCTGAACAGTTGGGGCAAGTATGGACACAACATTCAAGCTTGATACAGCACTGAATTTGGATAGTAATTAAATATTTGACACAGCATAGATTTCTGACACAGAATGAATGTGGTCTAAGAACTTAAACATTTTTAATTTACCTATTCAAACCATATCATTATTATTTGCTTTTATATATAAATCAGAAATAACCAATTTAAAATGGAGAATTTTAAAGAAAAAAAAGGAAAACCACCCCCAAATTTTTTGAACCCCCTTATGATTCATCACCCCCAAACTCAAACCCAGCCTTCCATTTGTGGTATGGTATCTTGCAGTACAATTTCAGAGAGATCCATACACTTGAACACAAGTTATTGTCTGGAAACTAGAAAAATGCTTGTTTTTTGGCCCCTTTTTGGCCCCAAATTCCTAAACGTTTAGGGCAATTACCCCCAACCTCAAACCCAGCTTTCCCTTTGTGATATGGAACCTTGTAGTACAATTATATAAAGATCCATACACTTACACACAAGTTATTGTCCTGAAACTAGAAAAATGCTTGTTTTTTTGCCCCTTTATGGCCCATAATTCCTAAACTTTTGAGGCAATTACCCCCAAAATCAATCCCAGCCTTCCCTTTGTGGTATGGTACCTTGCAGTACAATTTCAGAGAGATCCATACACTTGAACACAAGTTATTGTCTGGAAACTAGAAAAATGCTTATTTTTGTCCCCTTTTTGGCCCCTTATTCCTAAATGTTTTGGGCAATTACCCCCAAACTCAATTCCAGCTTTCCCTTTGTAATATGGAACCTTGTAGTACAATTTCATAAAGATCCATACACTTACACACAAGTTATTGTCATGAAACTAGAAAACTGCTTGTTTTTTGCCCCTATTTGGCCCCTAATTCCTAAAATTTGGAGGCAATTACCCCCAAAATCAATCCCAGCATTCCCTTTGTGATATGGAACCTTGTGGTACAATGTCAGAGAGATACATACACTTACACTCAAGTTATTGTCATGAAACTAGAAAAATGCTTGTTTTTTGCCCCTTTTTTGCAACTAATTCCTTAAATTTGGAGGCAATTACCCCCAAAATCAATCCCAGCATTCCCTTTGTGATATGGAACCTTGTGGTACAATGTCAGAGAGATCCATACACTAACACACAAGTTATGTCTGGAAGTTACAAAAATGCTTATTTTTTGCCCCTTTTTGGCCCCTAATTCCTTAACTGTTGGTACCATAACCCCCAAAATCAATCCCCACCTTCCTTTTGTGGTATAGAACCTTATGGTAAAATTTCATAGAGATCCATTCACTTAAACTAAAGTTAGAGTGCGAAAACCAATGTGTCTTCGGACGACGACGACGCCAACGTCATACCAATATATGACCGCAAAATTTTTTGCGGTCGTATAAAAATTGCTAAGAATTGAAATTAAATACCAGTCTTGAAAATTGAGGCAAGACAATTAAACTGTCACATTGAAAACTCAATTCCTACAAATAACATTTTATTGACCATTTAATGCTTAGTACATTTGTAGGTTTTTACCGAAAATCAACGACTACATATATGCTTGTTTCATCTTAAAATGTTCGGAGACTAGCAAAATACAGATAACTTATACAATCAGTCTGTACAAATGTACAAGTTTATAACATATTTCAAGGACTGTTAATCAGTGGACTACAAGGATTTGAGCAGGACATATTTGTAGATCATAAAGATTTATGCTACAGGGTCTTGATTTTTTCCTTCATTAATATTAAAAGTAATTTTCATCAGAATGTGGGGTAACTTACTATGACTAAATTTACCGAGACCTGCAGAAAATTTTGGTGCAGTTTGACAAATTAGAATATCTTTGCAAAGTGGCACGACTTAATACTTTGATACAAAACACTTTCATTTCTACTCCATTTGAATTCTATTCTGGCCCGATACTTTTTTACAGAATCAAAGAGCTTAAATGACTGAAAAATTCCAAATATACTTTTCATAGACTTTTCTATGTTGAACTTTTAAACTTTTGAATTTATATTTTATTGTTCAACCTTTCTTACATGTTAGCAAGGGCATCTCTGTAACACTAAAATTTTTTACCTTAGCTCTGTCATTAACACCTGCACCTAGGTCTAAAAGTCTTTCAGCAAGCACCAGTTTATTTTCTCTAACCACTATCATTAAAGGAGTCACTCCTGTTTCCTGTAAACACAGAGTAAATAAAATAAATATTTTAAAGACATCAATATGTATGGAGACTTTTCACCTAAGCAATATTTCTGACAAATTCAATTTTAATAAAAGACTGGTAAATTTTTTCAATTACACAATTTCACTCATAATATAAGTTTTCTTTCTATAAGCACTGTAAAAATACATGTAGATTTAATATCAATAAATTTGATGATTTTCATTATTATGTGATCAGAAATAATCAAAAAAATCAAATGCAAACTTGTGTTACCATGTCATCTTCAGAACCTCATCTTTTAACATAAGCATAATTCATTTGAGACTGATATCTAAATTAAAAACTTCTCAAACCAAATAATTTTTTAATTTTTATTCAAAGTCAACACTTTGTCTAGATTTCTTCAAATTTTGATTATTTTACTTCAAAATGACATATACATGTATATGTGAAATAATCTTCCTGTACAGTAATGAAAAGCTTCAGAATCAGTATGCCTGAATCAGTGATGAAAATAAGAACTGAAAGACTAGTATACTGTAGGTCCAGTGTATCTAGGACAGAAACTTTGACATTGCTTCTCCTTTTTTAAAAACAATATAAAACAAGAGCTGTCTGCATAGCGAGACTAATACCTCTTGTACATGCATTTTAGTTGCAGCTGTGAAATTTAGTATCAAGACAATGATATTTTGAGATATTTGGCTTTCAGCATATAGGTTCAAGGCTTAAGGTCAAGGTCAGAATGACCTGATTTTGGTATTTGACACATCCTTATCCCAAGATGCTTCTGCATACAAAGTGTTGTTTATGTTCTATGGTACAAAAGTTATGCCTAGGATACAATCTGTCAATGTTTTACCATCATATGGGACTAAGTCAAGGTCAGAGTGACCTAACATTGATACATGACACACCCCCATCCCATGATGCATCAGCATACCAACTTTGGTCAACCTTAGATCAAAGGTACAAATATCATGCACAAAACACAAATCAGAAACGGTTTTACTATCATAGGGCTCAAAGGTTAAAGTCAATGTCTGAGTGACCTGACTTTGAAATACGACACATCCCCAGTGCAAGATGTAACTGCATACCAAGTTTGGTTACCTAAGTTTTATAATACAAACATGTCAGTAACTGCTTGTAGTCCTTTGTTCATTTATGTATCATTGCATTTTGCTTAGTTTCTTTTGTTACCTATTCTGACATCGGACTCGGACTTCTTTTAAACTGAGTTTTACTGTGCGTATTGCTATGTGTTTCTTTATTCTACATTGGCTAGAGGTATAGGGGGAGGGTTGAGATCTCACAAAACATGTTTAACCCCGCCGCATTTTTGCGCCTGTCCCAAGTCAGGAGCCTTTGTTAGTCTTGTATGTTTTTTTAATTTTAGTTCATTTATATGTTTTGGAGTTTATTGTGACGTCTATTTTCACTGAACTATTACACAATTTTATTTAGGGGCCAGCTGAGGACCACCTCCGGGTGCAGGATTTTCTCGCTGCGTTGAAGACCCATTGGTGGCCTTCGGCTGTTGTCTGCTCTTTGGTCGGGTTGTTGTCTCTTTTGACATATTCCCCATCTCCATTCTCAATTTTAGTATAAACCGGACACGAATTGGACAAGAATTTCCTTAAATAGGGGTCAAAAGTCAAGATCAGAGTATTCTCTCTTTGCTATTTGACACACCCCCAGCCTAAGATGTATCTACATACCTGGCATGACCTTTGATCAGTCTAAGTTCAATGGTTCAAAAGTTATACACCGTACACAAAGCAGGATGAACAGACGGACAGACAGACAGACATAGTGATTCCTATATACCCCTGAATACTTTGTTTGTGGGGTGTATAAATGAGGGTAGGAATGCCCTTTACCCTTCGGGCGTCAAACGGTCATTTTCGGGTACCTTAGCTTCAAATTGGTTAAAATTTTACCATGATTAGTCAAAATGTCTTTATCGTGATTCGTCAGAGGTCTAAAATAATTATCGTTACCGTTATTTTTGGAAAAATATTGATTCGTCAAAATCAGTCGATTTTTTTATCGTCTTAAAGAAGGTGTACATTTTATCGTCAAGCACCAAAAATTACTGTTAACATCATTTGGCAAATTTTTTTACTGGTATCCATCATGAAGGTACCGGGCCATTACAACCCACATAAATAGCTGCCACTATATATGCTCAATCATACATGTATTCAACATGATTATGTTGTACAATTGCCACAGCAAAACATACGGTAATATATATGTATGATAATAGATGGTTATTTTCTCACCCTTTCTTCACATGAGTGGACGCCACACTCTGGAATACACTGCTTGCCTAGTAGGCTAGTATATTATACATTGTAGCATAGAGTTCTATTTACCTCATTCTTTTGTAACTTTTAGAAGTTTTACATAGCTTTAGTATTTCAAGTTTGAAACAAAAGAAATATTTTTTCACTATAATGGATATGTTGAATGGTTATAATTTTGAGATATTTGGAGTTTTTGTGTGTTTAGGGGAAAAATATATATGGACTCCTAGATAAGTGCCCGGAGGGTCACAGAATGAGTACTATTTTTTAGGGTCTGTACATTGCTTTTTGGCTGTGTTTTATCGTACCCAACATATTTTTATCCTCCACAACATGACATTTTTTTCTCACTCCACGTCTGTGTTCATCTTTTGTCATATCGATATGTCGATGAGAGAGGGGGAAAATACATACAATTATCTCCCTTTGACAATTTTTGCCATGAAATTTGTATTTCTGTTGTGTAACTGAGTGTGATTAACCTGTTGAAAAGTGCTTTCATAATATGTAGTTTATGTGTTACATGACTAATTTATTAATTGGCGGACTGTATTATTAGGAATCTCATAACATATAAAACATGTAAATCTAAAGATTTTCTTTTCTATTTTCCCGCCATCTTCTTCTTCTTTAAGAAAATCCCTCCAGCGTTAGAACAAAGCTCTTGACGTGTAAAAATCTGTTGTTAAATTGCTGAGAGCTTCAAGGGAATGTGTATCACAAAGTGTTTCAGTGTACGGTCAATATTTACCGTATCTACTACGAAATAAAATTTAATTTTTCCGATTTTAACCCCCAAATACCCCCCAAAAGATCTTGAAATGAACCGGCACATAATAAACTACGCTAGTCATTACCCCTTTGAGGTATAAAACAATATTCGTGGATTTTATGTGAAAGAAGTAAACGCGACACCCAATTTCAACTCTATTCATTTAGTATAGATTCCAAAGTTAAAGTGTTGAAAAGAAATCATCCACCGGAACGTACTATACTTTCCATCAGGCCTATATAAATGTGTATCGTAATGACAGGGCACCAAGTTCAAACAATCAAAGCTATGGGGGTGTACTTATCAGTGGCGGATCCAGAGGGGGGGGGGGGGGTCCGGGGGTTGGAACCCCCCTTTTTTTGGGACGATCAATGCATTTGAATGGGGACATATAGTTGGAACCCTCCCCCCTTCAGTTAAAAATGTCTGGATCCGCCCAGGCAGAGACATATATACATGTATATATGTCTCTGGCCCAGGCTAGCTGCGTATAGCAATTACAAAAGAATTCATAAGCTCAGAGGTAAAAGAACTAGAAACAGAATGTGAAGTAGCCTGGGCAGAAATCAATATAGCTGGCTCAAAAAACATCTTAATATCATCTTATTACACTGACAACCATCTGATACAGGCTAGTCTCTAGAGCAACTCCCTCAATCTCTAAATCGTATCAATAGTCAATCAAATGCTGAACCATCATCGTTGAAGGTAATTTTAACTTTGGACATATTGATTGGTCAAACTCTTGTACAATGCCAGGCAAAACCTGACATACACCAAAATCTCTTAGATATAATGAATGACACAAACCTACATCCCATTGTCAAAACACCAACAAGAAATGACCGTATACTAGATCTGATTATGATTAACAACCCAACATACATCAGCAAAGTCACCACACTACCACCAATAGGTTCAAGCGACCATGACATTGTCTACGCTGAAGCAGACATCTGGCTTAAGAGAATAAGAGAAACCCCACACAAAGTTTACAAGTACAATAAAGCCAACTGGGTGGACATTAAAACTGACATAGGTATCATCCATAAAACAATCATTGACACCTACGATTCTCTAGACACAAACGAGCTATCGGAGCTTTTTTAAATCTAAACTCATCAGCTCTGCCGAAAGAAATATCCTATTAAAGATTCACGAAACAAACACCGATTACCGTGGATCTCTGACAAATTAAGACGTCAAATAAACAAGAAAAATAAACTGTACAAAAAGCGGAAAAACAGCAAATACACTGAGAAATATAAAAAGATGAAAGCTCAGGTACAAAAAAAAACAAAGGAAAGCATACTGGGAATATATTGACAAACTAATCTGTGATCTTCCCATCAATGAACCAGATATTCCAACACAAAACCAGAGTAAACCAAAAAAGCTTTTCCAATATATTAAGTCAATAAGAACTGACAAGTCTGGCATCTCTGCACTAAAGAAAGACGACAACATCATCACAGACACTACAGAGAAAGCAAATCTTTCAAATGAACAATTTCAATCTGTATTTACCCCAGTAACAAATGACCCAAATACCAATCAAGGGCATCAGCACACATCCTAAAATCAGGAAGTTACATATAACACCAAAAGGGATTGAAAAGCTCTTAAATAAGATCAATCCTCATAAAGCCACCGGCCCAGATAACATCAGTGGCCGCTTACTCAAAGAAATGCAGGCACAAATTGCACAAATTCTTAGCAAAATATTTCAAAAATCTTATAACACTGGAATCACGCCTGACGACTGGAAACATGCTAGAGTTGCACCTACATATAAAAAGGAGGACAAACATAAACCTGTAAACTATAGACCAATCTCATTAACTTGCATTTGCTGCAAGTTAATGGAGCACATAGTCACGTCACACATTATGAAACATCTTGAATCAAATAACATCTTGTACGACCT